AACATTCATCCGACGATAAGCTCAAGATAGGGCAATTGGGCACTTAGACTCCCTACGTGGGTAGCAAGACCATAAACCATACGTTTCCAAAATCTGACTCAACTAACCGAACTCATACACCATTTATCTCCTTTTTGACATTTTTAAACTTCCATGAAATTGTAGGATCACAAGATAAAATTATAATGCACATGATCCACGATTTTGCAATCCCAATCTACTTAAAGTTTATTCAATTCATAAGTAAGAGAGAACAATAGCAATAAACAAAAAGGAATTTTCTAATTTCCCATATCTACAAACTCCAACATTTCTCCAATTCAATACATGTTTCCAAAATAACCCAAAATTTCATATCTCAACACATTGGTACCAATCATTTACCAAATTTCAAGATTTAAGAGCCAATTGAACCAAACATCATTCTTAATTCAAATTTAAAACTAGGGTTTTGAGAAATTTGGGGCTTTTTCCCCTTTCATGCTTTAAGAACCAATGCCCATCATTAAGATCTATAATCAATAAGGAAATATTCAGAATCTTTCCAAAAATTAGGTAGGAGCCACTTTTTATACATCAAAACTCATTTTATGTACAAAATTATCTCATGCAACACTATTGCTAAGAAAACACCAAATATCCATCTCAAATCAGAGAGATACCAAATTAAATGTAACCCTTCTTCAAGAGTGAAATCATAGAAGCAAGATCCAAGAAAAACTCTTCACGAAAATGCAATCCAATCGGTGAAAATCACAGTCTCTATGCGAGCTTCACTTTTTACAAGAGGTCTAGGCTTGATTCTAGGTGAGAAGAGAGATTTCTAGAGAGAAAATTAGGGTTTTCCAGAGCTAGGGAGATGAGAGGAAAGAAAAGTGAAAAGAATGAGCCAAAAGGAAACTTTGTAAGTTGTTGATTCACATAGACCGCTCAAGCGGTGAACTCAAGCTCTCAGCATCTCAGTCTGCAAAGCAAAGTGCCGGTTGCTCCCTCTTCACCGCTCAAGCGATAAAAACCACCACTTGAGCGGTCACTCTGGAAACAAATTATCACATCTATGACAATCAATACAACCCTCCACTGGTTGCCAAAGCAGTTATCTCTATCCAATACATTCCAAATGGGCAATATAATGAAAGCAATATTGATAATTTCCAATAACATCAACAAAATGAAATATTTTTCATCATTTCTCGAGAGTCTAAAGTTCTCAAGGTTTCATCAATTTCCCAATCAACACAAATAATTTCTCAACAACACAAATGATTCCTCAACATGGAACAATTCTTGGTTTTTAGTAAGATTTGGGAATTTCTCATTTTAAAAATGATTTTTCCTCAAAATCCAACACTACTCACCAACATAAACAACCAATAAAAGTTTTCATGAAACAATTCAAGAAAGGGAAATTCTATTTACACACCACTAATTCTATCAGTACATACCATTGACAAATTAAATTTATATTCAATAATATCCTCGAATGAAAAGACCATTAAGGACAATATCTGGGTGTATTATACCCATTTAAAGATTTCACCTATGGACGTATAAACATCCAAAATAAATTAGTTTTGAAGATTTAGGGTTTAAGAACATTGCAATCAATTGGTTTTAGGGTTTAAGAACATTGAAATTAATTGGTTTTGAAGACTTAGGGTTTACGAACATTGAAATCAATTGGTTTTGAAATTAATTGGTCTTGAAGATTAAGGGTTTAAGAACATTGAAATCAATTGGTTTTGAAGATTTGCACACCATGGATGACACTGAGATTGTTGATTTTGAACAAAGCAACAATGAAAATGTCAGTTTAATACTTAGCTTTTTTATTTATTTTTTTTAATTTGTTTATCTTGCTTGTATAATTGTTGGGAAGATGACTTCTTTTGTCACATATTTGGATAATCAGAGTTGAACTTTTACACAATGTTCGATTATTTTTATTCGAAAATAACAATTTCATTCAAATTATTAAGGTTGACCAAATTATAAATGTTCATACGTAAAAATTGAACATTTTAATTCCTTAAGAATTTCATTGCTCAATTTTAATTCAATTCAATAATTTAATTTGTTTTTGGTATATTTTCTTTTCTTTTCTTTTCTCTTTGTGTGTGTGTGTGTGTGTGTGTGTGTGTGTTTGTTTGTTTACAAAAAATAGATGTGTTCAACATTTTAAAAAAAAAATGAACAAACAAACACACACACACACACACAAGTAACATATAAAATTTAATATATGTTCAACATAATCAATGTTCAACATTTAAAAAAAAAAATGAACAAACAAACACACACACACACACACACAAGTAACATATAAAATTTAATATATGTTCAACATAATCAATCTAAATGAATTGAAATTGTTCAACATAAAAAGTATAAACATATTTATTTTGTTCAACATAAATATTTTGAACATGTTCAATTTGTTCATTTTTTATTTTTTATTTTTGGTATGATAATATTATGTTCAAACAACCGGAATTGAGCCAAACTCGAAATAGAAATTGTTATGGAAGTTGAATTGGTAACCAAATTAAAAGAAGATAGGAAAAACATATCAAGATGAGTATCAAAGGTGTGAATTAAGGGTGAGAATGACAAATTTTCAACACCAATAATGCACCGGCAAAACAGTGACGAAGATGGAGATCTGAAACGACAACAATGCACTGGCAATCCAACAGCAAAACGATGGGACAGTGTAGATCTAAAACGACAAGAATGCATCGGTCGAACAAAATCCTCCGTCGGCGATGGAGATCTTCAACGACGACAATGAAGATCTATGGCGTTTTGTAGATGGAGGTCTTTGGTATTCTGAAGATGGAAATATTTGGGTGTGAGTTGTGATGTGTATTCAAACAGACAGGTGGTGTGATACCTTAGGACAAGTAATGGAAAGTTAAGGTATGAATTAAGATATTTTCAAACCCTAAAAATTATTATGTGTGTGTACTAAGTAATGGTGTGTACAGAGAGGATTAATGGTTTGTAAATAGAATTATCCTTCAAGAAATCCCCCTTTATTTATGCATTAAATAAATTAATAAAATCCTAATCTCCAAAATAGCTCTAGCTATCAAAATAACAAATAATAGAGCTAAAATACATACACAATATTTAGAAAATCCCTACCTCAAGTTCTAGGAGAGAGAGATAAGAGAAAATCTCCAAAAATTAACAGTGTTGGAAGGCGATTGCCATTGCACAAAACGTAACCCTCGATGTGTTCTCCAAATTGGCCTTAAGGACTGTGGTTAAAATGTTGGTGGATTTGTGTAGATCAAGCAAAGTGCAAGAGTTTTGGGTGTGAGTTAGAGGGAAGGGAGAGAAAAAGAGAGAGATATTTTAGAGAGAGAGAGAGGGGGGTTGAAAATGAGGAGAAAAAGTGAGAGGAATCCAATTTTTAAGCAAATGATTCCAATTTTCGAGGCTGAAACAGTCAGGCCCCTGGCTGCACATGCAGAACCCTCTCTCACGCACGTGCGGGAAACCCACTGCATGTGCAGTTTAGTGCAAGCCCAAAAGTACCTCAACTAACCCTCGTTGCACGTGCAGTTACATTCTCTACTCGTGCGGCCCCCATACCACTCGTGTAGCCCATGCCTTCCGTATGTGTGGGACAATCCTAGAATTTCAAAAGCTGCTTGCACCAGCAATCCACGCGTTCAGGCCCTCCTGGCCACACGTGCGGAAAGGCCTGATGGTCTAAAATTTGACTCTTAAGGCATTTCCCACCCTTCAGTTCCATCCTCATGCTCGAAACTCGAAGATTTTGATTCAGGGAAGTTTAGAGATATCAAGAACAAAAGAGTTTACAACACCGACGTGCCACCCGACTCTCGAAGCTCGGAAAATAAATGAAATGGTTTGAAAACAATGGATTCAAGTCAAGTCCAAGACCCAGAACGTCCCAGTCCCAGTTAAATTGGTGTTAAGAACTAGAGGGTTTGGAGGTATTCAGAGATCTATCCAAGATTTAAGAATTACGCAGAATCCATTAAGCATTTGATTTTTCTGTGCCCCTTTTCACAATATGTTTGGGCTTGGATTTCAACCAGGCTGCTGTTTTGCGTTTTCCTGAATGGTCTAATCAATGGACATAAGTGTTGCACCAAATGAACGACATTATTTGGCAGTCCATTACAATTATGTGGGCAATATGGGTGCATCAGAAAATATACATATCAGTTGGAGGAAGAAAATTTAGTAACCCATTGATACGATAAGATTTGCTCAACAGCTTACAATTTTACACAATTCCTTGCGATCGGAATCGAATGATGGGTTGAATCTTAATAATGAAATGGATAAGCCAAACTTGTTTAACTTCCTTGAGTTGTCGCCAATAATTATCTTCAACAGTCTAATCCTTTTGCATATAGTTCAATTGCCTACTTTTTTAGTGGATGGGGCATGGAAACAGGATATTACACTCAACAAGGTGGAGTTGGCAATGGACGGGAGGGAGCACGCACAATGTATGTGGCATCGGGATCTTTCTCCTTTAAAGCAGATATATGGATCAGCCTCTGAAGCTGAAGCAGGAGCAAACATGCTTTGCAGCTACATACAATGGGCAGTCCGTGAGCCCATTGTGCAATATATTTTTGCTGTTATCTACAATACTATTAGAAATCCGGAAAGTCCATTTCGTTCTGTTGAAGCTGTTGCATGTGCGTGCAAAGCTGGGTAGTTTTTAGCGAATGGGTAGTTTTTCCCGTGTTTTTCATCCACTATGGTTTTTTTTGTCTTTGTATTTATTTTTGTTATTGCTGTTTTCTCCTTGTTAACCTGAAATTGACGTTAATGACAAATGGTATTGTATGGCTGTTGTTTCCATCTTAATATATAACCTCTTCTCCACACACACACACACACACACACACACACACAAAAACAAAAAAAAACAAAAACAATATAATAATAATAATATACTTATAATAATCCTCATTGCAAATTTTAACAAATGTGAAGAAGAATCCGCAAGAACATAAAAAAAGTTCTTAAAAGTTAGCAACTGATCATGGTTAAATTTAATGTCTTGGGAGAAAAATAATGCAAATATATAAATATAAACATATATACACACAATTTTGCTGATAAATTTTAATCCCAGTTGCAAATGGTGGGTAGGTAGAAGCAATAGAATAGAAAATATAATCATCTGCGGAAGTGAATATTTACAACTGATGGCTGCAAAAACAAAGTCTGCTGGACAGAGAGAGCAAATGGCAAAATTGGATGGAACAAGAATGTAGAGATTTTCTTCGTCCGACCGTCTGTGCTTCCAGCTTCAGGTCCTGATTGAAATTCAAAACCCAGAGGACATCATCATCATGGACTTAGATCAATACTAAAATTATAAACGCAAATATCATAATAACTATTTCAGCCTCCGAAATGTCTCCGTATAGTTGATTAAACCCTGGATGTATGCATATCTATAACTTACATATGTATATATATAATGTATACACACACCTGGTTTAATCTTGAATTTTAGGGAATACGGTTGCCTTCTTGCGATGAACTTGATTGGATGATCTGTCGACTGCCTATGCCGATCCGTTGCAGAAATCAGCTGCAATAACAGGTCTCAATTATGTAGGTCAGCAACCCAAAGGAAATATGTAGATGGGAAATATGGTTCCCATCTGCTAATGTAGATGGTCTCCATTCATAGTTTGTAATTGACTACGGTGCGCCCCATGCATTTTGTATATTTTTTCCGATCTTTATATTCTCTTAAATGCTTACGTACCACAAAAATAAATAAATAAACAAAGAATGTGAATGTTCTTGCTTTGAGATATGTTCTGCTCTACTACTTCCTTGCACCCACACAAAAAAGGGAAAAGGGGAACCAAACCAATCGGTTTCCTCTCACCACCCTCTTTGCAAATCTCCAAAACCAAAAATAATAGGAGAAACATAATTACTAAAATACCCCTAAACTAAATTGTATTAATATGTTTTCCTACTCTACTATATTGTTTTAACTCTTTACAAATAACACACAGTTGGTTCACTAAAAATAATAGGAGAAACATAATTACTAAAATACCCCTATACTGAAGATAAATAACCGATTAACCATAAATACATCTTCACATATGTGCCTTGACAAGTAAAGGGAAAATCAAATTTATGAATCAAACCTTTTCATCAAATCGAAAGAGAGATTGGTCAAAATAGGGAGAAGGGCTTTGAGACTGACAGCTAAAAGGCAAAGAGGCCAGCATCTTCTTCACAAACTGCAAAATTCAAGCACCCATTATAACAGGTGTCATGAGATAAGAATACATAGGTTGCATGACTATGAGAGCCACACATATTCTTGTTCCTGTGCTTCATAAATAAGATATACATATATATATTAATACAAAGCCAATGAAAAAACTGCAAGAACTTAAAACATCACAAGTTCATGTGACAAAATACCTGTGGAAATATGTTGGATTTATTTTTATTGCACCTTAGTTGCTCAAGAGCATGAATGTTATTTGAATGAGACGATATGAAATTCATAGACAGCGAATTTTTTGATGTTGCATGGAAGTGTTCACAGAACTGCTCAAATAAGAAATAAAGCTCCTCTGATGAATTCTACAATAAATTAGGAAGAACAATGGGCATGTCAGATAACCACAATGAACTTCATAGAAATAAAACAACCAAACTATGAGATGCAAGTGGATACCTGATAAAATGCCACCACTTTAGTTGTCTCCATGTTATATACAGCAAAGAATGCACGATGGTGATCAACATTTCTTGACATCTGAGGTTCCCAAAATGCTCAATTACATATATATAATTCATACAAAAGTTACAGGGATTACACAATTTATTCCGCTCAAAGATGAAAGTTTGATTTAATATGAAATCAAACATTAAATAACAATTAGGTTAAAGCCTTAGGGCAGGCATATATTCTCAAATTAGCTAGACCAATCACAGATCAGGATGAACCAGGAATAGATTAGTTTGTGAATACTAACTGATACTCTTCTATTAGTAAACAAGATGACATTGATAAACTTTGTATATCTAGAAAACTAGTTATTTAGCTTTTTAGGATTTGATGGAGTTCATTGGTTGGGGGTGTTTGGGTTTTGCCTAGACATGTGACATGATCTAATAAGTTGATGTTTACAGATATGGTTCAATAAGGCTTCAGATGATCTGGCCTCTTCAGTTCTGCTCAGCTGCTGATGTGGCTGAGCCCAAGGGGCCTACTGTTGGATAGTGCTGAGTTAGCACAATAGGACCAATCAGGCATATCGAATGCCATGTGGTAAGTTGACGCTTCTTATGCCAAGTATCTAGCATAGTTTTTAAAACGGGCCACAACTGTCATGTAATGGTTTCGGTGGTTACTGCCACCCATTACGGTAGCTATGGCGGTGTGATTAAAACTCATGAACGTAACGGTTACCATCTTTTAGGGTTGCAAATGAACTGAGCCATTCATGAACAAACTCAAGTTCGACTAGTGGAAGCTTATTCGAACTCGGTTTGCTAACTCAATAAATGAGTTCGAGCTAAAATTTCAAACTCAAATAATAAACGAGCCGAGCCCAAACTCAATATTGCTCGGCTCAATTAGGCTCGCGAGCTCAAGAATATATATATATTATATTTGATATATTCATATATAATCTACTATAATTATATACTCCCTCTGTCCTATATTGATAGTCCCTTTTGAAAATTTTAAACTTTTTAAGGAAACATAATCATTACACTTTAAATTCAAATTTTAAAGGGTTAATTCCAAAAGTACCCATTATATTCTCAAGTTTAAATATATTTATAATTACTTTACAATGGGTAATTTTGGAAACTTCTAAATTTAAACTCACTTTTCAAAGTGAACATGCATTTTGGGACAATAAAAAACGAACTAATGGACAACAAAATGGGATGGAGGGAGTATTATATTTGTATATGCTAAAACATTTTAACTTAACCATAATTAATGATCATGACTATTTTAATAGAAAATAATCATTGCAAGTTCCAAAGCTTCACTTTTGCTCTGCTTTCCTTGACTTTGTTGTTGTGAACAACTCACCCTTTTACAAGGGTTAGGACTTTGTATGTTTCTTCTCTTGAGCTGGGATAGAAAGTGATGTAGGATATCATGTGCATAGCAAGTGATAGTGGAGGGAAATTGTAGCCTATATCTAGAAAAGGCATAACCACTTTGTAACTAATTTTGCAATAATAAACATTGATTGATTGAGATTTCTCTCTAAATTTCTCTCTACATTTTCTCTTTCATGTTCTTGATTTGGCCCATCATCATTTGGTATCAAAGCTTCAGTGAAATCAATACCTGGAGGATCTGATTTGGGTTCGTGACCCATCGCGAAGGATTGATTTGGGTTCGTTACCCATCACTAAGGACAACCTATCGCGAAGACGACCATCGCAAAATCGATTCACAGCCTCTGAAACCATCGCAGCCTCTGGAATCGTTACAATTGCAACCTAGATTCAAGTTTTTGAGTCGCGTTCAAAGGTATTTTGGATTTCAAACCTGACTTGCGTCATCGAGAGCTCAGTTCTTGAGTTCGTCTCTGACTCTAAGGTCGCAACCTCTGAGTTTCAGTTTCGCAACTGGATTTCGCAATTGGATTGGGGTATTTGGTTTGCGATTTGAGCCATTGTCGAGGTGTGACTTCATGGGTTTTGTAAAAAAATGATGTATTATTGATTGATGAATTGATTGATTGATTTTTATATTACAAATGGTGAGTGGCTCATTATATAGGAGAGGGTGAGTGTAGTAGGTGAGGAGTAGGTGAGGAGTAGGTGGTGGTAGGTGATGGTAAATTGGTGGTAGGTGATGGTAAATTTTAACAGCCCCCCGCAAACTCAAGGAGGATAGAAACTAACCAACTTGAGTTTGAAGAGAGGAACAAAACAAGAAAATACATAAAAATAAAAGGATAGGAGACACTGTATGGTCGTGTCAGACCATTGGTGAAGACACTGAATGGTGGTGTCAAAAGCATAAAAACTTACATATTTACCAACGTCCCTTGAACAACTACAAAGCAAAGTTAGTAAAACATGCATGATCTTATATACAAAATCGTAATGCAATTCACTCATAAGATGCAACTAAAAATTCGGCTTCTAAGATATGACATGTGAATCATCTCAAGAACATGAGGTAGCACACATAATCACATAGGAATTAATTAAATCCATAAATGCAAACTTAGCCGAATCAAGATGCATGAAACATAGATGCAAAGCATGGATATAACGACAAAAAAATAAAATAAAATAAACATGATGCATATTCACAAATAAGGAAAACAAGTAAAAGAACGGGATAGAAAGAAGTGGGGCGGGAAATTATTACAACACTTTGAATAAATTATTACAAATCAAATT